TTTTTTTTTTTTTTTTTTTTTTTTAATTCAAGCACCCAGGCGATGGACGTGTCCTGCAATTTAACTACTTTCAAATTCTTTGTTCGGGTCCCACCGGGGCTCTATTGTCACCCTATTGAGAGAGCTTATTGCCAAGTCAAGCCTGAGCGAATTGAGACACGCACGGGAGGAGCCCCGGGGGCTGGGAGCGGGATCCGTGGGCTGCTCGGCCCGGGGGGACCCCGACCCAGCCCCGAGATAGCGGGCACGGCGCGGGGCAAAGGCTGCCGGCATTCCTCGGGCCGGGATAAGCGGCACCGAYCTCCACAGGAGCCGCAGCGGCCAAAGCAGCCCCGGTCCCGTAGAACCCGGTGGTTGGGATGGGGCAGCCCCATCAATGGGCACCCCCGGGACTGGGCTCCTTTGAACCCTCAAAGCTTCCCCCGCAGCAGCGCCCTGCCYCAGGTACCACCGCTGCGGGCAGGAGAGCGACTTACCTCGGATGCCTGCGGTGCCGCCGGCTTCCCTCCCTCGCTGGTTGTCCCTTAATCCCGAAAAGGAGGGTCCTCCTCTACTCTCATCCCACCCCCGACCCCTCCACCTCGGAGCCGGCTCCCGCCTGTCTCCCGCCGCCCTCTTCAGCGCTCACTTTGGGAGCTCCRGGGCTCGCTTCCCGAGCAGGGAAAGAGCGGGATGCTGGGGGTGCTTTTCTTTTCTCTTTTGCTTCCCTCTCTCCCGACTCCTCCCCAGCCTGAAAAAGGGGTTGCGAGCTGGAACAGGGGGGTACGAGCTTCACGGAAGGGGTATTTCAGGAGAAAAAAAAGCTGAAAGAGCAGTGCTGGGCACGGATTCCCACGTAAGCCTGTACGTCACCCATAAAAATTGCCCGTTTCTCCCGTTTCTTGGCTCCGGGGGGGCAGCTGAGATACCTCTACCTGTGGAGGGAGGGGGTGAAACCCTGTTAGAACTGACACCCCGTTAAAAACGTCCTGCTCCAGCTGGGAGGGGAAAGCAGAACCGGGGGATGCTGGAAGGCAGGGGCCGCCTCTCTGCATCATCGCCCTCTGTCCCGTGGTGATGTTTGGCCGCCCCCTGCTCCCCCAAAACACCCATCTGGAGCTCTTCTCAGCCTCCCGATGCCGGGAGAGATGGAGGTTTACGGGATCCCACGCCGATCGCACGGGGAGGGCCGCGGCGAGGAGAGGGGGACACTGCGGCCATCACATGTTCCTCTCCGCCGCGGTGCTCCTCTTGTGACCGACGGCGTCTCCGCCGTGTCCCGGGGGAAGAGGAAGCCCTTGACCCCTGGCCCCGGGGGCAACGGGGTTAAACAAAGTCCCACCGCCCCATTATCCGACAGACAGCATTGAGTTCCCGGCGGGGAGTGGGGTCTCCGAGAAACTGTGGAGAAATCGCATCTCCCACCTCCGGTACCGGACCCCGACGGGGCGCACCTGCATGGGGATGCTTCCCTGACAGACAGACATAAAACCAAAAAGCCTAGGGAAAGGGRAAARAAAAAAAAAAAAAGACTGTACACAGCCCATTCCGACTTATACATTGCATCCAGCTCTGCTGAAATCGCGGATTTTTGAGGTTATTTCGGGTTGCTTATAGTGGTGATTTTTAATTTTTTTTTAAAAGTGGTGCCGTGCCTTGCCGAACCCTTTTGCCCGCACCCGGGTGAGGCACAGGCAGCCCCGGCCCTGTCCTGCCTGCGGACCAGACAGCCGAGCTCGTTGTCATCAACCATCCCCAGAGCGCTGTCGTGAGAAATATTTAGAGGAGTATTTATTTTTTCTCTTTACGTTTCGGAGAGAGG